ATGTACGTATGTATGTATGTACGTTTGTTTGTATGTGCGTACGTACGAATGTATGTATACATGTATACATGTAAGCATTTACATAAGCATATACATATACATACATATACATAAATATTATATATTATATATATACATATATATATATATGTGTGTGTGTGTGTATGTGTATCCCTGTGTGCGTGTGCTTTCGTATGTACTCGTATGTATGTACTTACAGAGGTATGTATGCATGTATGTATGCATGTATGTATGTATGTATGTATAGATAGATAGATATAAGCAAATTACAATTGAATGGATATAGATATTTTTGCCTGTATCCTACCATATACAAGTATATACATACACACTTATGTAGGTAGCTGGGTAGGTAGGTATAGGGACATATGCGCAAGCATATATGCATATATGTATATATATATATGAATGAATATATATCTATATATCTATATATATGTACACATACATACATACATAACGAAGCACAAGTACATCGATCATTCTGTATGAATGTGAAAATCATAATGAAATGAGTAAGCAAACACACAAATAGGTATGAATGTGTATACATATATACACAGTGTGTGTGTGTACGTATGTACGAAGATATGCACACACACATATATATATATATGGATACAAAGATCCGTAATATGAATGTACATAGGTTTTATACATATGTACATCTATACTACTATATGTTATTGCATTTCATGCCATGCAACGCCTTTGGCAGGCCATGTTCCCTCATGCGAAGGTTCGAACCGGCTCCGAGGTTGGGGCGGGGAGTTTTGGAAGAGATGCAGCGCTTATCGGTGGTTGGAGTCTGTTGAGATTGGCAGATTCGAGGCATCGTCTAGAGTTGAAAACTGGCAAGTTTGTATGCAACTCCTCAATCGGGTACACGACACGGCAGCGTGCGGTAGTCCCCTCTTTGCTGCTTCCGGCGTGGCTGCAACATCGAAACGTGCTGCAAGGAATCGGCTGATGTCGAAGTCAGCGTGAGCACCGAGTCCGCAACAGCCAGTGGACGATCACTGCACTGGAGGAGAGTCATGTATACAATTAGACTGCATCCCAAGTGTGCATGGCATCATGACGACCGGCTATGTGCCGAGGCAACGATGTCGATCAGGACGTGGACTCAGCCCATGAGCAGTATGTGCATCTGCAGATCTTGAACGACATGAGTTGAAGCGGCAGGGCTGGAAAGGGCATTCAAGTTTAGAGGGCTCCCTCGATTTTTTACGAGCTTTGGGTTGGGAGGCCACCCAGTCAGCCTCATTCAGCTTCTCGGTTGCTTGGCAAAAACTGTCACCGAAATCCGAAGTTCTTAACTCACTGCGAAACGCGCCCAAAAAACGTTCTCGGTTCTGATAGAGTTAATCTGATCAGTGCTGCTCACATTGCTTACATGTAGTTATTCCACTGGTGGTTTCATCATGTGCTTTCGCCAAGATGTGACCACTCCGTCTGACTTTCGAACTGGCGCATCGCCATAGAAGCTTCCGAGATCTCTTCAAGATAGCTTGAATCATATATTTATATATGTATATGTATCGATCTCAAGCTTCTTCCTATGCACCCAGGAAGACTCGCTTGCCGACCCCGAGGCTGCAGGGGCAATTCTGCCTGGTGTGTAGACTTGCTCGAAGTCTCAAAGCGGGTGCTGGGACAACATCACGGCACAGGGCAGGAGCCAGAAATGGCTCCGAGGAACTTCGGGAGAAACTCAGGGCCGTTTGCCGTACAAAGCGGTACCACTCAGCTGTTTGGATTCCATGCGCGGTTCCTGTTCCCACTTTCGGGGAGAGGCCCTGCCAAGAGTCAACCTTGCAGAAGCGGCAGGTGTTAAGTCGCGTCGAGGCCTTGCAAAAGAGCACCAGGCGCGACATTTGCAGTCAGTCTTAGCTGAAGGGGAACCAGGCAAGTTGAGTTTTCGACCGTTCGGCATGTCAACGGTGATAGCGTGATGTCGGGAAAGGCTGCAGCCGAGACCAGCGTGCAAATGTCTTGCAAAGGGTAACAAGGGCTGCACACAAACCTGACCTGCAGGCCCAAACCCAAAACCACATCCCTCGAGCTGAGTCAGTTAAGATCCAATAAATCTGAGATCGAGAGCTCCTTTTGCCCGGATTTGCAATAGTCAAGCTCTGAACCATCCCGTGGGCTAGAGCTGTCACGTGTCACCGGTTGACGATCTTTCCTTCCCGACAGCCCTGTAGAAAAGTGGCTGTCGGTCGAACTTGATGGCAACCCAGTTCCGAGGGTGCCCCCACCCCCTCGCTCTCTTGCAGTAGCGCCCTCGACGACCGCGCCCAGAAGAGCCTTGGCAGCCTGGAGGCTGCGAAGGCACTGGAGGCCGACTGGGTGATTTCCTGTCCTACGGTTCTGATTCTATCTTGTCTGTTTTACTGGTAGTATTCTCTCGTCTCCATCTTGCTCCGATACTACTCAATACCACACCACCTTGTCACCATGTTGTGGTGGATTCACGCGTGGTTTTTCAGATTTCAAAACTATTTGCACGAGTGGCTGCTGTGTTCGGGATGTTGTGCTGTTCCGTGCACGCGGCGCACCACCAGGTCGGATAGCGCGAATTCGCGTGCATTCATGTGTTACACACTGTTCCTGGGTGATCTAATGTGTTCTGTGAATCGATTGAGCTGCTGACTCGAGGTCAGGCTGCTTGACATTGTCAGTGGCGCTTGAACTACCACTTTTGACTTCCTAGATTCAGTTCTTTAGTTTTCTGAGGGCAGGTGCCCTTGTGCGTGCAGTGGTGTATGGACATAGGCAGGCTTGTCTGCTTAGTTCAAAGCCTGGCTGGTTGAAGCCTGTGCTTTGCTTGGTTATGTTGTGCTGTTTGCACAGGAGTGGCTTAATGTATGTATACACATATTAGAACACTGTTTAGTATGATATAATGTAGTGCAATGTGCTGTACAATAATGAATATTGCAAGACAAGGCAGCATAAATACCACTTCGAAAAATGTAATACATCCTAGCATATCAGAAAGTAACATGCACTAACGTAGTAGAACATAGCATCGTTTGATGTGCTCTCATACGGTATCATAACACATCATGAAGCGTACTACGCCACCATATAGCAATGCGACTAGCAAGATGAGGTAAGAAACATTGTTGTATACCTTTCACATCCATATATATATATACATATATATGTATGTATGTACGTACGTACGTACGTACGTACGTATGTATGTATGTATGTATGTATGTATGTACATGTATGTACATACATAGCTGTTTTTGGTTTCTTTGTTTAGTTTGTATTTATTTATTGACCCCCCTCAGGACTGACCTTGACCCTGGAATTGATGATGTGCGTTGTTGCGGATGGATTTGTATTTGATCACCTGTGTGTACATGTGTGCATAGCAGCCGGCCGTACGTCTATGACCACCTTGGAATGCTGTGTAGGATAGCGTTTTTTTTTGCAGATTGCTGCACTTTCTTATCGATAGCATATGGCTTAACATTAAATTATGTGCAGCATTGTTATCGGCCGCAAGCTTTCGAGCTGTGTACTGCTTGATTCTGCATGATCAGCTTTGGCATGTCCTGGTGTTTTTCGGTTGTATCACAGGTCATGGTGCGGTAAGCCGTTCTGTGTCATGCGGCACTGTGATATGTCATGTTTGCATCATCCTAGGCTAGCAGATTGCAAACATCTGATGCGACGTGGTGTTGTGAACTGCGCTGTGTTCTTTGCCATGTTATGTTGCGCTGTGTTCTGGGATGTTGTGCAAGCAAAGCATAGCAGGACCCACGGACCGCTACCGGACGTCATGGCGGTTCAGGTTGAAGCAAACATAAGAACGGTGCTGGTTGTGGCACAACCTGACACACACACACACACGTATGCCTGCACCTGTGGCAAGGTTCTACAGAAGGTGGAGGAGTTGGTGGAGGCCCAAGGAGGAGAATGCTGGCGCCTCAGGGGTGAAGTCGCATTCCGATGTGCTAAGGAGCGACTAGGCTAAGATGCAACAACGTGCAAGACCAGTCAGAAGAAAAAATGCAGGCGCTCCAGGTTTCAGAAGCTCCAAGGAATGACGCCAAGCCGGACGTTGCTGCAAACCGACTATCATCGCCTCTTATCCGAGCCCCAAACACGCTGCTGTTGAGAGATACTCAAAATCCCCACCATTGCCAACTTCAAGATCTGCAGTTTGATAGCTTGTTGGCTTGCGTAGTCGTTACCTGCCCTGTTTGCTAGGTCGCAACCTTTCCTCGATGCTGCAATCGGTTGGGGGCCTCTGGGTTGAGTGATGCGACTGCTGCCTTGCCAACTGCAGCGCGCTCTTCCCGATCCGGTACAAGCTTCTGCCTGCCCCGAGGTATGTCGCAAAATGGAAAGGAAGATGCTCTCGGACGCCAAGGCACTGCTCCGTTTGTTTACGGGATGACGTCGCTGGTGTCGGGTTCTGGAGAGCGGAAGCTGTGGTGTGCATGGCTTCGTGTTGGGTAAACTGCACGGGCCAATTCCCAAGAGTCTCTATTTCTGATGAGGCAAAGACGCTGGAGGCAGGGCTGCAAACGCCAAGTATGCGTGAGAGAAACAAGGAGTAGAACATAGACATCCCACGCTGTAGTCGTGTTGAAGCTTGGGATTGCTCTGCTAGCCTGGATTGAAAGTATTGAAACTCTGGTTGCATTGGAACTCAAATGATGGCGGCTGCTGAGTGACATTGCGCGTGCGTTAATTATTGATTTTGGTGGCAAAGCGCAAAAGAGAAAACAAGTGCCGTCTGTTTTCCATGGAATACTGGGCTGACACAGCTGCGTCTCGTCGGCTCATACACGATGAGGCAGAGAAAGTCGGTGAAGCATGCGCATGCGGCATCATGTGCAGGTGAATCCGGGCGTGGACCAAGCTGCCTCTGTCAGGCAAGCCCTGCACAGTCCATGTCAAGGAGCCAAACTGCAGTACAAAGCTCCATGGAGCATCTGGGTTGCTGTTAGCACTCCCAGCATCTCCCAGTCCTGCCGAGCCGACTGAGAGCCTCTGCAGGCCAACGGCAGAGGAAAGCGTTGCACTCAGCAAAGGCATAGCATGTGCAGAGACTCATTTGAGCAGACGCTCCTGCCTCCTTATAGACTGAGGCAAGGAGTACTGGACGGTCGCGGGCTCATTGATACTATTGCACACGCAAGTGTTAGGCCCTGTTAGGCACAATGACTGGATCATGCAAGTGAAGGTTTGAGCTGCATGCACAAAACTTGGAGAACGCGGCTTCTTGCAAACGCTGGCCAAGGTGAAGCGCATCGAGAAAGCAGCTGAGCGCATCGCTGAGAGAACAGTTCTACAAACCTCGCTGATGAGGGCTGAACGTCTCGGCTGTCAGTTGACAAAGGGACTCGAGTTTGGCGAAGTCCAGAAATCTAAACGGCCGTGCACCGTACAACGCTTGAGAGCCTCACAATTTGAATGCAGCTCTGCGCATGTTCTCAGGCGTGCCTTCGAGACATGGTACGAGGGCGACCGATGGCGGCTCAAGTTTTCCATGGCAGGCCACCGCCTTTGGACATCCCCGATAAACACCATTACGCTTTGAGTCTGTGAGTGCAGATGTTCGTTTGCCTGGATAGCTGCAACTTTCGAAGTACATCCATGGTGCAGGCAACCTTGCCCACCGATTGCAACTGCCCATGAGTTGTTCATCACATAGTGCCAGATTGCAATGGAACAGCGTTGGTGCATCAGGTTACGGTGCAAAAGACTAGCTCTGTAGGTTTTCATAGCGTGTCGCCTGCCTTCGGAGTTGGTGAACTTATGCCCCAGACACCTCAGCGACTCAATGACCGTGACATCTGCTCCTATGGTGTTAATGGCGCAGTGGCCACCGCTGCTGTCGCAGAAGGGCTCACACGGTATCAAAACGTCGCAGAGGCTGTAGGGACCTGTAGGACGGCTCCAGAGTTCCCTCTGAGAGGCCTAGACCCTTCGTTGCCTGGCACCAAGTCTGAGCTCTGCTGGGGCCCGGCCTGGCCCTGTTAAGCCGTTTTGCCTTCTCTGGGGCCCTCCGCTCTCCGGTGCAGCAGAGGAGGAATGAAGACTGAAGACTTACGCGGATGCCAAGGTCGGACATTGCAATGGAGAGGTGCATGGCCTGGCTGCGACGACGTTTAGCAGAGTTCAAGGATGAGAAGAACACTTGGTTTGCCAGAAGCTTCTCGCTGCTTTGCCGGTTAACAATCAGTTCAGCAAGGTTGTAGAAGATCAGCTTTTGTCGACCAAGCAGTTTTGTTTTGGATACCTGGACATTCGTTGTCGTTCTGACACCATGCCGCATTCAATACGGCGAAGATCGTCTCAAAACTTGGGCGCAGGATGCGAGTGGTCCCAAAGTTCTTCGTCAATGCCGCGCCGAGGTTGCGATGGGCTCATGTGGGCCCTCACTGATCCTTCGGCCTGCCTCTGGCTGGAACCAGAATTTATGCTGGAAAGCTTCTACTGACTCTCTAAATTGTAAATTACGCAGATGTCTATGCCCATGCCTTCTGCCCGCAGAAGTGAGTGGTCCAAGACCGAACTCTCAGCATCTCTCCGGTAGGACACGGAACCGAAGGTTTCCATCTCTGTCGCCCATGGCCTCCTTCAATGACAGCTTTGACACCATCGACATCTCGTCTGGCGAGGCTTCGGGCTGTTTTCTTCGAGCTTCAGTTGAGCCCCGAAGTCCGGTGCTTGCTCGCGGCAACATTCCAGACTGGCTGCCCGGTCATCTGCAGTCAGGAGACCGAGAAGTGCCAAGTGCCTCGAGCTTATGGAGCTTGCTACGCGGCCAGGCACGGGCAGCAGCAAAGCGGCAGTTCCGGTGTCCGGTCAGGGCTTCCAGTCGCTGCATCTGACAGGTGCCGCTTGCTCGCGGAGGCACGGGGCTCACAACCTTCCGCAAACAGATCCGGCCCCACGGGCACCTGGCTTCCGCTGGAAATGCCAGCCTGGCAGCCCAGAATGGGCAATTTTACCTGACGAATTCGTAAACCACTCAAGCTAGTTTTCCTTCCTGCGATGTTCACATGCTGAATGCTACTCCGACATCTCCGACGGTTCGAGGCGACATTTGACTACATGTTGCGTGGCATCCTCGTCCAAACTCCAACTGTTTGAGTTCAATCACGTTGCGAACATTTCTACACATTGCAAGCACTGCACTTGATACTACCATGACCATTAACTAGTATCTGCGAAGCTCACCTCTACATGCCCTTCCAATTTCATTCGGCCAAGTTTGCCAGTTCCATTGTTGCAATGACCAGCATTGGTTCTGTTGTTCTTGTCAAGCGTTGCCGGACAGGTAGCGCTACCACCACGATTGCTACGCTCAGTGAGTTTATTGATCTCATACCTATGCCAGGTGCTTCACAATGCTTCCTAGCCCTTTTAGCATTTGGCTGCCGGAGCATGTCCGTGGACCCCACGTGTCGCTACTTCCAGCTCCATATAGGACATGCTGTGCTTGGCTGTATCATCAGTATAGTGATGGTGCCGGTGCTGCTTGTATTATTCATGCTCATGCTATTGACGCCTGTGCTGAGGTCATGAATAGGAAAGAATGTGCCAGTCTTCATGTGTTTCGTGGTGTCGGTATGACCAGCACCACTAGAATCATTAAACCCTGTGGCCACCTACCTCTGCATGATACGTGTTGGCACCTTTCAGAATCAATGTCCGTCAGAAGACGAAGGTTGCGATGCAGACTGGTCTTACTAGACAGGTCCGGCACATCGCAAGGCCGTGCATGAGTGTTGCTCTGACGCCCACTATCACTAGTGGTCGGATTGTTCTCAAGTTCTCTACGAACTGGAGGTGCCTATGGCCCATGAGCTGTTCTGGCTGAAGCGACAGGCAAGGCCGATGTTTGGACTACTGCTACGCTACTGGGCCAAGAGCCCCCCGTATGATTCGTGCCGAAGTGTGGCATTTCACATGTGCAGGGACTGGACTTATGTTCTACACACGTTTGCAACCGAGCATAGTCTACCCTTGTCAGGATGTATGAGACTCAATCGGATTGGGTATGGTTGGGCTACATGTCCGGACGATGTATTTGGGCATTTCTACGGCTGTTGTCTTTCAGGAATCCAAACCTCAAGGACTGGAGCTGATGCCCCTGATCCTAATTACAGAGCCAGGTTATCAGTGTGAGGGCTGAAGCCGATTCCTCCAAATCCAAGCTTTCATCAACTCCCAGCTCTTTTTCGTCAGGCGCGAAGAGCAGTCCTCAAGCGGTTAGCCAAGGAGGCGGCGGAATTCGGGCCGGCTCTGCGTCGAAAGGCCCGAGTGGTCGAGAGTCGAGAGTGTTCGAGATGCCGAAACGCCGCGCTTGCCAAGCGTTAGTATTTTGAGTGGAGACTGTATCCTTATACTGCATACTTCTGTGCATGTCCAGATGCATAGACAAGCTACTTTCCGTTGCGTGTAGATGTCGAAGATGCACAATCTACAGCCTTTGCCGTAGCCCGAAGCTCGGCATCCCCAAGCGCTTAGCTGAGAAGAAGAAATGACCATCAGACTTCTGACGGGCATTTTAAGCCATCACGAGGCAGCAGAGCTGCGGGCCAGCGCGGCACGACAACGACTGGAGATGCTCCGGTCTGGGCAGGCTGGGCTTGGGCAATCTGGCCTGGGCTCGGGAAAGGGGAATGGAATGGAATAGAGATGCAGCATATCGTCCTTCCTGAACACTCGCAGTCGCAGACCCAACTGAGTTCAACTGAGTGATTCTTTTCCGCAAGCAAGGAGTCTAGTAGCTAGAGGCTTGTATACCTTACCCTCTCGCGTCGTGCTTCGACCGAGAAGTTCCCTCACATGCAGTAGGGGAGGCACATGCCCAGTTGCCGAATTGGAGGAGTTGCGACCTTTGCACCCCCGGCCAAATTGCCTTGCCTGTGGTGGTACTGCTTCATGCCTGCCCAGGAGAGGCCAAGTCCAACCAAGACACCGTGTCACGTTCGTGTCACTGATGTTGGTTTCTGTGATGAGTTTTCTCCACATTTCGGCCTACACCCACTCGCACCTCACCGCAAGAGTTCAATCGACACTCCCGTTTGAACGCCGAAGTTCGGTGGCCTCGGTTTCAATACGTTCCTCGGCGGGAAAAGCATGTCCGGCCGGCGTTCGACAGGGCAGATCACCTTCAATCGGTGAGACATAGGACGGTAATCTGGGAGCACTTCGGGAGGGTATTTGCAGCGCGAGGTGGAGCAGTATGAAGCTCTGCTGTCGGAGACGAAGGACAGGCGCTCTCGCAAACCAGGAATGTTAGATTCACTGGACAGTTGTCCATGGTCGCCACAGGACAAGCGGGTACAGGAAGTCCTGGAAGAGACCAACCGCATCATGGCTGAGATCGGGCCAGTGTCGCCCAAGCGTCTTGGTGACGACATAGTCCGAGAAGGTTTGCAGGCGCACAAGTGCTCGAACTCGTCTTCTTCTGCTTGTGCTGCTGGCACCATGGTTTCCACCAGGTGTCGCTTACAATACACAGGCTAGCACGAGCCCATGAATGTCGCAGCTTTTGCAGCAGCTTGTGCATCTAGTTCGTCTCCGGCAGTCCAACTAGCACTAGAAGTAGCAGTAGCAGAAGCAGCAGCAGCAGCAGCAGCAGCAGCAGTAGCAGTAGCAGTAGCAGTACTAGTACTGGTACTAGTACTAGTACTAGTACTACTAGTACTACTAGTACTAGTAGTGCTAGTAGTACTAGTAGTACTAGTAGCACTAGTAGCAGTAGCAGTAGTAGTAGTAGTAGTCGTCGTCGTAGTAGTAGTAGTAGTAGTAGTAGTAGTACCAGTCGTAAGAGTAGTACTAGTAGTACCAGTAGTAACTAGTACTAGTAGTAGTAGTAGTCGTAACTAGTACTAGTAGTAGTAGTCGTAGTAGTCGTCGTAGTAGTAGTAGTAGTAGCAGCAGTAGTATCCTTGTCCGGTTGCGGCGGTCTAGATTGAGGGGGTTTAGATTATGGAGAGTTTAGCAGTACAGGCCCAAAACCTT